GCCGTGCTGCTGGGCGCCGCGCTCGGCCTCGGCCTCGGCCTCTGGCTCGGCTGCCGCGCCGCCCGGCCGCGCCCGCGGCATCAGGTGGGTCGGCGGGGCTGGGGGCCTGGTGAGGTGCGCGCGCGCGCGGGCCTCCTGCGCCCAGTCGGCGCTCGAGCGAGGTCGCGGGCGTCGCGAGCCCCGGGTCTTGCCCAGTCTTCCCCTCCAGCCCAGGAGCGAGCTGGAGACCGAGTCCAGAGGGGGGCGGTGGAGTGACAGGAGCGTACCGGCCTGGGGGCCTCCAGAAGTGGCGGCTCTGTCCGACTCCGCTGTGCGACCGCAGACAGCCGCTAAAGCTCACCGAGGCCTCAGTCTTCTCATCTGGAGCCCCAAGGGTCCGGACTCGCCGCTGGCCGAGGGGCCCGGCTGAGCGCGGTGGACAGGAGGGCTGCCATCCCCACCCCTGTCCGTTCTGCTGCTTGCCGTGTGGGTTACCTAACTAGCCTCTCCAGTCCCAGCTGCCACCCTGGCATGCGTTCGTGCCTTCACTCACTCTTTCCTCCCTGCAGTAAGAGTGTGATGAGCACCTCTGCCAGCCGCAGTCCTGTGCAGGACAGACCCTGCCCTTGCTGCTGGAGGGTCACCGTCTCCAGAAAAAGCGAGATTTTAAGTGAACATTTGATTGTAGCCCACCCTGGGGGGTTCGGTGCTTGCCAGCTGTGTGCTGGGCACTGAGCTAGACTCTGTGCCTGAATTATCTCATTGGATCCCCAGAACAGATTTGTGAGTTTGTTCTATTTAAGGACCCCATTTTGCTTTTGAGGAAACTGAGGCGCAGAGAGATTCAGTGACTTGCCAAGGTGACACATGTGTGTGTAAGCCCAGTCACTGTATTCTCCATGGGTGGCAGTGGTCACGGAAGGGGATTCATGGATGCTTCGTGTGACCGTTGTTACAGAACAGGATGTTGTGTGGAGATGGTGGGCATACAGCGGGCATTTGATCCGTGTGGTGTGATCACTGTCTTGGGTCCTTGCCGCTTTGGCCTCTTTGAGGGATGAAGTCTGGTAGGATCTGAGATGCAGTGTGTGGTCTTGTTCCCTGCATTCCTGGCCCATGCGAGAAGGAGACAAGTCCAGCAGATGGCTGCTGACGTTGGGGGAGTGTGTTGCTGGAAAGGCGTGATAAAGGTTGAACGCAACTAATATAGTGCGAGATGCTTGTAGGTCAGTTTGAGATTGTCACATCCCTCTGGCAGTTAAGGGACACTGAGAGACACTGGCTTCTTGTGTTTAGAGGGAAGTAACACGTGCACAACCTTTGCTGGGTGCCCTGTTCCGAGCTGAGTGTTTGTGGACTTTGGTTTCTCTATTCCCGCCCCAAACCCCTGAGTCGGAGAGCTGTCATTATCCTCACTTGCCAGGGAAGGACGTCCAGGCTCCCCAACCATGTTCTTGGTCCAGGGGCATGTGATGAATAAAGAGCAGGGCTGGATTTCAACCCCAGTCTGTCCGAACCCCTAAATCAGAGCTTTTAGTCCTCTGCCATCTGGTGATGTAACAGGTAGTATCTGTCTTAGTCTGTTCGGACTGCTATAAGAAAAGTACCACACACTGTGTGACTTAGAAACAACAGAAGCTTCTTTCTCACAGTGCTGGAGGCCGGAAGTCAATATCAGGTGCCACCACGTCTGAGTTCTGGTGAGGGCCCGCTTCTGGGCTGTAGACTTCTCACTGTGTCCGCAGAGTGTAGAAGGGTCAGGGAATCTCTGGGACCTCTTTTGTAAGGAGGACTCCACCCCCAGGACCTAATCACCTCCTAAAGGCCCCACCTCCAAATACCGTCACCTTGGGAGTTGGGATTTCAACCTACGCATGGGGAGTGGGACGCACACCTTCAGACCATGGTGGTGGCCCATGTCACAGCTGAGTCAGCTGAGGCTTACAGGGGTTAACCAAACTATCTGAGATTGGGCCGCTGGTCAGTAAGGGCTGCACTAGTCCAGTTGAAGGTAATGGTGGCTCAGACCAGGGCAGTAGCCATAGAGGGGGCTCTGGCCCCAGGGTCTGGTTGCCGGGATTTTCTCATGATTTGGCTGGGACCTTGGCAACAGCCTTCTTTCTAAGTGGACTCCTTTCCTCCTCTCTTCCTTAAGTCTCTTTTCCTAGCGTAAGGAAACGGTGCATAAGGTGGTTGCCTTTCCCCGGGGCATCCAGCCAAATGCAAGGTGCCGTGCACCCCCTGCATCCTGTTTTCCAGCCCCCCAGCCTCTCCTTGCTCCCCTGATGCCTCTCTGCTACTGCACTTCCATTCTGTCTGCTTGCAGTGACCTTTCTCTGCTTGCCCGCTCATCCTTCAGAGGCAGAGAGAAGCCCTTCCAGGCTGGATGAGGTACTTCTTCCCTCGTGCACCCTGGGATCTCTGTTCTCCTCTGGTCCACATCACCCAGCTCGTAATTGTGTGTTGCGCCACTTTCTTTTTGTTGCTTTTTTTTTCTTTTGTTTTTATTTCATCATTAAAACTTTATATTTGCATCGACGTTATACATGCACATCAAGTGTTCATTTATTGGCAGCAACGCCACTGTCCACTCGCCACTTCCCAGAAGCCACCTCGTCTAGCTCTTTCAGCCGGCTCTTTGGTCATTTACTTCCCCTTTGTAAATAACCTGCTTACCTGGCTGTCCCTTGCATTTTTTGCTTTCGGCTTAGCACTGACTTCCCACTGTGGACTGGGGAGACGTTCAGCTCTCTTTTCTCCTCCCTGTGCACACCCACCCACCAGCCACCACCGCCCCCCGCCCCGCCCCCTTGTGGCCGTAGGGCAATTTTGGTTAAATCAGTATTCAGTGTTTCCTTTCTTATGATTCTGTAAGCAATTTTCACGGTAAGTCAAGGATCAGCTATGATTATGATTATTTTCCTTTTTGTCACTGCATTTTGTTTTCTCTGAAATTAATAGTTACCCAGGGCTTTTTTCCCCCCATTGGCTCATATTTTGTGTACTTGCTCATTTAACGCTGGCTTCCCCTCCATTTCTATACATTTTTTTGGACATTTGAAGGCATTATTTGATCAATTTTATCTTCTTGCAAAACACCTCTCCAGAAAACCTCTCGCCTGCTCCAGTCTGAGTTGGTTGCTCTCTGGACCGCTGCTTCTCTCGTTTGGACCAGACCAGCAGCACCAGCAGCAGCCGGGGGAGCTTGTTAGAAATGCTAATTCTTGGGCCCCACCCCAGACTCACTGATGAGAATCTTTGCAGGTGGGGCCAGCAAGCTGTGTTTAAGGAGCCCCTCCAGTGATGTTTTTGTTCTTAAACCTTCGAGAAGCAGCTGCCGTAGACTTTCGCTGTCACCAGTGGGACCTCTCAGGGCCAATCGCCCTGGAACTTTGTCACCTCCCCAGCGTTGCGCCCTCTTTCGGGGGTCCCCTCCACTGTCTTTCTGGGATAATTTCCTCCTTTGGGTGGAGCACGGCCTCCAGGATCTTCCTGAGAAAGAGATGGAGGGGAGTGTTTTTAAGAACTTCTGTGTCTGAAAGTATCTGTGCCCTTCTGTCTTTATTCTCAACTTCGTGAGAGTAGTTAGGTCATAGAATTCCAGGTTGGAAATAATTTTCCCCCAGAATTTTGAAGGCATTTTTTCCATTGTCTTCCAACTGCCATGGTGGATGTGGAGAAATAGGATTTTGTTCTGATTCCCGATAACTTTGTTTTGTTCCCTGTGGAATCTGGAAGCATCTCTTCTTTGTTCCCAGCATAGGAAGCACACCAGGACCGGGGGTTGGTGGCGGTCGATCGCCCTCCTTGGGCCGTGCATCCAGGAAGCCCTTTCAGTGTGCAAACTCACTCTCTTGAGTTCCTTGATGATTCTTTTCCTTTTATATATTCTGTTGTTTCTTTCGGGAATTCGTCTCATGTTTTGGTTAAATTGGACCACCAGTTGCCTTCCTTCTCTCCTGTTTTCCATCTCTTTTTCTTTTTACGCCATTTTTGGAAGGCTTTTCTCAACCACCCTTGTGTCGAGATTTTCACGTTTTTCATTTTTGAGTCCCCTTTTCTGTCCTCAGAACGTCCTATGTTTCTGCTGCCCTGTTCTTATTTTGTGAGTGTAACATCTTCTCTTGGCTCTCTGAGGATGTTATAATTGCTTATTTGTTTTAATAAACAACTGTTCCCTACACAGTGTCTGTTTCCAGCTTGCTTTTTCCTTTTGTTTGTTTGGGGGTTTCTCTTTCATATCACAGTCTGTCCTCAAGTGGCTGGTGACCCTTGGCTTCCTGGTTACTTTTAACTGGGGAGCAAAATAACACTGCTCCTCCATGGGATAGATGAGGTTTATGCTGGAGTCTCTACTGCAGGATGATCTGATTGGGTTCTTCCCTGCAGAACCCCTGTAGTGGTCAGCTGTAACCGCTAAACAAACAATCCCTAAATCCTTGGCTTCGTCATCTGCCCCCCTCCACTGCGCCCCAGACTGGTGTAGCCACAAGGCCTTCCCTGGGCATGCTGTGCATGGTCCTGCCACAGGGCCTTTGCACTTGCTGTGCCCGCTCCTGGAAAGCTTGTCCCTCACATATCTGAATGGCTCGCTCTCTCACTTCCTTCACATTTCTTCTCAAACGCCACCTTGCCCAAGAGGCCTCCCCTTCCATTCTCCTGCCCTGCATCACCTTTCTCTCTTAACACTTACCACCGCTGACTTACTACATATTTATTTACATCTCTCTTCTGTCGCTGGACCGTAAACTCCATGAAGGCAGGGGCTTTGTTTATTTTGTTCATTACTCCGTTCCCAGTGACTAGAATAAGCCTTGATGCTTCGGGCTGCTTCGTAACAGTTGCTAGCTAATTCCATGACAAACTGGCAATGTTTCTTCAGTGTAAAGATTATATCCATGAGCACCATAAGAGGGGCTTGGTCAGGGTCTCTGGCATAATGGGATTTCAGGTACAGTTGATCATTATGATCTACAGAATCATGGCAAACAGAGAATTAGCAAACACTGAATCGTTGCTCCTAGGAGAAACACAGGGCTAGGTTTCTGCAAGACTCTGGCCACAACATCTTCATTAACTGGCCAATACATAACCTTGTTTGATGTGTGTTTCTGTATAAAGACACCCTATTTAATACAAATTGTTGATGCATGAACAGTGAACGCACAGCCAATGGCACAACATAACTCATGCTTGAATGAGGCTTATCCAACACACATTTTCTCCATGAGGGGCACGCCAGCCTGCTTGCCCTTAGGAACACCGCACGGCCCTTAGCACGACACTTAAGGGTCATTTTAAAACAACTGTGTCAGCAACGGAAAGCACAGACATGTGGGAGAAGAAGGGCATTCACAGAACACGAAAGGGACCCTGGTCTGCGGTAGGAGAGCTGACTCAGGAAGGCAGGGTGTCACCTTGCAGGCTAGGCTCTCCGTTGGACACAGCACGGCAGGCAGCTTGAATTTTCACCACTCTGCCCATGCCCAGGGATGACCTCAAAAGCACCACAAGTGTTGATTTGGGGAGGTTACAGATAAATTTCGACAAGTAAGCAAATTTACAAATGCAGACTCTACCATTACCAAGGATCAACCGTGGTTCACAATACAAACCATTCTATAATTTAAGGGTACTTAAAATATTTTCTTGAAATCATCTGATGGCATTCTGGGAAATAACAGGAAAATGAATATTTATGTGCCATTTCCCGTGTTCAGCTGTTACCCCGGGGAGCTCACAGGCTACCAAGGGCCCCCAACCCAGAAGAACAGTAGAGTGACCTTTGATCCAAGTATGACCTCCAGGTCCGGAGGACATCCTGAGGCAGGGAACCCGGGGGCTTCTCAGGAAGCTGACGCCTGGACAGTCTCGAAGCCTGTGTGGCTGACCCCAGGAGGGGTAGGAGGCGTGACGCTGCGCGCAGAGAGCCAGGCAGAGACACAGAGATGAGCACACGTCGGGTGGGGGGTGGATGGCCTGAGTCCCAGGGGCACTAGGCTGACCGGTTTTATGTGTTCTCCCCACCCCCACCTTTGGATTTTAGAAAGACGATGCTCAGAGTCTGCTCAAGAATTTAGAGTCTCATGTACCGGACCCCTCAGAAACCGGCTCCCCGTCCAGAAGGAGGAGGAGAGAAGCCCAGATGACAAAGGAGGAGGCTATGGACGTAAGCTGCATGTTTGGGTTTATTTGCCGAGTCATGTGTTGGGTGTCCTGTGTCCCACTTGGCAGTGCAGATGCCATTCAGATGAGCCTCTGACAGATTTCCTGTCCCAGTTGGCTTCTTTTCTGCCATATAATTTACATGTGGCAAAATGCACAAATTTGAAGTTTATAGTTGGGTAAGTATATACATCCTTGTAACCAAAACCCCAATCTGGAACATTCCATCACCCCCAGAAAGTTCTCCAGTGCCCCTTTCTGGTTTACCCTCCTGCATCTCCCCCAAACCCCCGCCCTGCCCCTTTCAGAAGTAGGCACTGCTGTGATTTCTATCACCAGGGTGGTTTTGCTCTTCTAGAATTTCACATCAGTGGGATCGTGTGCTTGCTTGTGTTGGCATTGCCTCAGCATCCTGCTTTTGAGACTCACCATATTGTTGTACATATCAGTAATTTATCCCTTCTAATTGCTCAGTCCACTGCGGAGATAGAGCACAGAGTGGGTTGTTTCCCGCGTTTGGCTATCCTGAATAGGGCTTCTGTGAATGTTTGTGTATAAGTTTGTTTTCATTTCATGTTATTTCCCTTAAGTGAATGTTAAGTAAATATCCAGGAGTGAGGGCTCTGGGCCTCTTTAGGGACATGTTAAAGGTGGATTCTCCCTGGTCCTTCCTCAATGGCCCCCACTCTGTCCAGCCTGAGCCCACCCATAGAGTATCACTTTGTGTGTGAGCTCCGCAGAGAAAGAGAGTGTTTCTTCCAAAGGTGTGCTATTTCTAGACACTTCATGCTCCCCAGAAAGTTCCATGGATCCTAGTCATTTAACCTCAATTGCCCAAAGGTAAATATAGATATTTAGGTAGGTAGATAGGTAGATAGACAGACAGAGAGCTAGAGGGTTCCTGAGAAAAGGGGAAAGGTTTTTATTTATTTGTTTTTTGGTTTTTCGGGGCTTTTTTTTTTTTTTAAGCACTTACTGAGTGCCAGGCATTTTCCCATGTGTCACTTTTGAGTGAGGTGAACACTCGTGTGAATTACCCCATACACCTCTCTCAGCAGCCCCATGAGGTAGATCTTATTTATATCCCCTTCTCGACGATTCCCTCACACAGTCCAGTGGAAAGATTAGCTGCCCTCACGGGGCTGGCATGGGGAGCCGGACCTGGAGCTGGAGCGAGCCCCTGGCACGTAGGTGCTGTGTGTCCAGCCTGTGTCCCTGCCTCTCTGGTCCCAAGTGCTTGTCTCTCCCCATGTGTCTTCATGTGTGTGTATCAGGGCGGCTCTCTAGGTCCCTCTCTCTGGTTTCTCTCTCTGCGTGCATCTCTGTGTGACTGTGTGACAGGTGGGTGCGTGATATCTCTCTTTCCCTCATCTGTCTCCCTCTGTCCCTATCACCCTGTGTTATCAAAACCCTGCTCACACCAGTGAAAATATACGGCTACACAAAAACCTGTACACTGTGTTCATACAGCCTTCTTTGGCCAAAATGTGGAAACTCAAGTGTCCATCAGCTGATGAATGGTTCAACAGAATGTGTTCTGTCCACACAATGCAATACTCTTGGGCCATAAGAAGGAAAGAAATCCTGAAACACGTTACAGCATGAAGGGACGCTGAAAATATAATGCTAACTGAAAGAAGCCGGTCCCGAAAGACCACATACTGCAGGATTCTATTCGTATGGAATGTCTGCAACAGGTACATCAACAGAGACAGAAAGGAGGCTGGTGGGCACTTGGGGAGGGGGTGAGAGAGATGACAGCTAACGGGTATGGAGTTTCTTTCTGAGATGATAAGAGTGTTCCAAAACTGATCGGAGGAATAGTTGCACATGTCTGTGAATATACTGAAAATTACTAAATTGCATGCTTCACCTGGTTGAATTGCATGAATACAACCCTGCTCACGCAGAGGGTGGCCTTGGAGTACTCGGTGAAAACACACTGGCTCAGGGGCCCTGGCGCCTGGCTCCCAGGAACCGAGCCCTGTCACCTGTTTGCTGTGTGATGCTGGGCAAGAGACATAACCTGTCTGAGCCTCCGGTTTCTCAGCTTCACGATGACAGTAATGAGGCTGGCCCGAGGGTCACCCATCGGTGAACTCCATGAACATTCCGGCTACAGGACAAGTGTTCATCGGTGTCTCCAGGGGAGCCAAGTCCTTGTACCTCTCTGGAAGGTTCGCTCATGTTTCTAGCTGGTAATGTTTTACATGTTAACCATTTAGCGATGCCAGACGATGCCTATGATCAAGCTAATCATTGCCAAGAGCCGAGTTAAAGATCTGCCTCTTCCAGGGACTGGCTTGCCAAAATGCCCTGCCTTCTGCAGACCAAGCTTGTCAGGGAACGTTGGCCAGGGCTCATTCTGACAGGGTGAGCTGAACTCTAACTTCGACGTCCCAGAATGCACGGAAAACCAAGGCATTTGTGGTTCGCACCACTCCTTGCCTGAACTTTATTTTGATGAATAGCTCACGTCAAGTCAAAAACAAACAGAAAATTCCGGAAGGTTCTTCAGCGTGCCACGGCACAGCCTTGGTTCTCCTCATGCCGTCCTTTGGTTCTGGAGGAGGGCAAAGGGTCAGCTCCTCTGTGACGCCGCCATACACTCACTGAAGGGACACCTCTACATCGGTGAGCGAAACACCTTTTCTTTTCCGGCAATTATACTTTCACTAATTTTCTGAAAAATTGCATTGCTCCAGCTGAAGAAGTTTTACGTGGTAGGCTCGCATGACAACCAATTTTCTGTATAATTGTATTGCTACGGTTGAGAAGATTATCAGAATTTGGAAGCCATCTGAACTTAATAAGAAAAGCTGTAAAAAAAAAACAACAACAACAAAAAAAAAAAAAAAAAAAACTAAAAACAGCAGAAGTCTATTCACTCCTGGATTCCATATGCCGAGCGCTTCCAGGTCCTTCATCCTGACAAACACCATGACTGTCAAAGTGCTAGTCCTCAGTCCTCGAGGGGCTTGCAGTCTGCAGGTGGATGGGCCGGAAACACACATGCGTTCACAGGCTCCCCAAACAGCCACAGTAACCTGTCACCTAAGCTTATGCTTCGACGTGCATCCTGGGTTCTGCTTCCAGACGTCCCAGGTGGACCCCAGCATCTCCATCCGGTGCTTCTAATTTTGTTTTCCACATAAAGTGCAGTTTTTGCTTTCTATCTCTGCTGCAGGGCAGGGACTGTGTCTTCCTCTCATTTTGCACTCCTTCCATGCTGTGTTTTCTTTTCACCTCTGTTTGTAAGAAGTTTAGAAAATCACAGTGCCCTCTGCTTTCCTAGCTTTTCTTGAGCAGGTGAGTCCCTGCTGAAGATTGAAATATCTTAATCACATTTTAATTAGACGCACCTCCCCCTTTTCATTTTGTATTGGGCCCCACAAATTATATAACCTGTTCTGAAATCAGCCTTTTCGATCTTACTGCTATCCTTTGATTTTGTACCCACATGGCTTCAAGCAGAGATTGGGGCTGGATGCTGGGGGCTGGGACAGGCCGTGCTCTGCTCCCTCGGATCACAGGGCTGCCAGGAAGGGGTTGATGCTGGCGGTGATGGAGGTTTCAGGTTTAAAAGATCATCCGATTGCCATGTAGAGAATGCGTTGGAAGGTGTTAACCTTTGAGCCTCACTCCATGAAATAGGGATGATGGAAATAGTACGGACCTCCCCAGGCTGACTGTTGTGTGATAATTAAATGAGCAAGAGTGCATAAAGAGCCCAGCACACAGTAGGCGCTCGGTGCACAGATGGGAGCCAGCTTGGAGGCTGTGGCAGCCTTATGGTGGTAGCTCAGGACAGTGTGATGGGTCCAAGTGACATTTAGGAGTCCAAGCTGGTGGGCTTTGTGGTTGATTTGACATGGCAGTTTGGGGTGTGGGAGCGACAAAGTATCTTGGGATCTGACCTGTGTTCCTGGAGAATGGTGAGGCCAGTCCAGGGGTCTTCTCCACTGAACACCCAATTTCCTGTTTAACTTCCTGGCTCTCACCCCGGTTGTTATTTGCATGATGTTGAAGGAGACGGAAAGATGTCAGCTAAAGAGGAGGGACTCTGGATTCAGGGAATCTGAGCTCAAATCCCAGTTCTGGCATTTATTAGCTGTGTGACCTTGGGCTCACGGCTTAACTGCTCTGTGTCACATCTCCCCCTCTGGGATCTGGAGACAGTAGCCTTCGGAAGTGGAAGGAGGTGGCACGTGTCAGTGGTCTGACCCATTCTTGTCATCTAAGTCTGTCTTTGTGAGTCATTAAGTACAGATGGAAATGACAAAGCCCTGCCCTCACCATGTGGCCTTCATCGCCCCCCTGCCCAGAAGGGCATCTTGGTGAAACCCGCTCTGGAGCCACCCGGGGACCACACTGCTGGCTCGGCTAGGTGCCGGGTCAATGCCTGCATCATGAGGAAATGATAAATCCTTCTGTATCCCCCATGGTAGGGTATCTCATTCCAAGTTGGCAACTGGCAATCAGTCATTTGTTACAGAGTTTTTTTTTTTCAGAAAGGTGTAGTTGAGAAGTATCAAGGTAGATGTGGGTGTAGTGTTAGCCCATCAGCCAGCTCAGAACCAGTAAGTAGAAATTTCTGGTGGCCTGGAGTGCCAGGCTCCTGACTGGTCTTGCCTGTTCACCATCATCCCCTGCAGGTTGTTTCCAAAACATGTATCCAGCACCCACCTAGCGAGGTGCAGGGGGCACCCCTGGCAGGAGAGAGACCCAGAAAGGATGTGGGGGTGTAGAGCAGTAGGAAGAGATCGATCAGCTGTGCACAGAGAAGACTCCCCGGAGACGCGGCTGCTTCCTGTCATTCCTTAGAGCTGCCTATTGCTTCACTTCTGTTCTGTTCCAGCTACTTTCCTGGGTGCTTTATCTATGCAGTCCTGGCGGGGGGTGGGGGGGAGGTGGATACGGTGCCTGTTCTCTGTCTGGGAAGACTGAGACTCAGAGAGAAGTGAAAACACTTGCCCAACCACTTTTCATTTAAGGGTCTGATCCAGAGTCTTGCATGAATATTGCCACGTGGAAGTGTTTACACCTTTGGCAATGCTAAAACTGTTCTGTTTCTTTTTCCACTAAAAGGTGGGTCACAATTTTTAGGAAAACTTGTTAATTATTGCTATGTTATTTAAATGCTTATTTCTTCTAAAGCTGAAGATTTAGAATTAAATAAGGAATGTACTATATAACATCTGTCTGTCCATCACCCATCCATTTATCCATCCACCTTTCCATCATCCTCCCATCCATCCATCCACCCATTTGTCCATCTGTCCATCCATCCATCCATCTCTCCATCTACCCATCTGCCAATTCTTCCATCCATCCATCCACCCACCTGCCCATCCATTTTCCCATCCACCCATGTGTCCATCCATCCATCCATCCATCCATCCATCCATCCATCCATCCACCCATGTGTCCATCC